CCCCCCCCACCAGCAGCAGCCCCAGCAGCAGCAGCAGCAGCAGCAGCAGCAGCAGCAGCAACAGTGGAAGTAGTGCCTCTGGGGGCTGGCTGCGAGGTGGGCCGTTCTTGCGTGTGGGCGCGGGTGGGGGCCGTGGAAGTGCTGTTTGACTGCGGGCTGCACCCGGGGCAGCAGGGGCTGGGGTCTCTGCCGTTTTTGGAAGCAGCAGAGCTGCAGCAAGTGTCTCTTTGTTTAATAACTCATTTCCACTTGGACCACTGTGGGGCCCTTCCTTATTTGCTGCGGCGGACTTCGTTTAGGGGGAGGGTTTTCATGACAGCAGCAACAAAGGCCGTTGCTGCGCTGCTGTGGAGGGACTATGTCCGCATGGGCCGCCTCAGCAGCAGCAGCAGCAGCAGCAGCAGCAGCAGCAGCAGCGGCGGGGAGCTGCTGTTTGGGGAGGAGGACGTGGAGGCCTCGCTGCAGCAAATAGAGACTCTGGAGTTCGGGGAAGAAGTGGTTGTGGGGTCTGCTGCAGTGGCTTGTTTTGCTGCTGGCCACGTGCTGGGCGCATGCATGTTCCTGCTGCAGTCCGCGGGGCTGCGGCTGCTCTACACCGGGGACTTCTCCGCAGAAAGGGACAGACACCTCAAGCCGCTGCAGCTGCCAACTGTCTCCGTCGATTTATTAATCTGCGAGGGGACTTACGGGGCCCGCTGCCACGAGCCGCGGCTGCTGCGGGAGCAGCGGCTGCTGCAGCTCGTTGCTGCTGCTGCTGCTCGGGGGGGGAAGGTGCTGCTGCCGGTGTTCGCGCTGGGGAGGGCTCACGAGCTGCTGCTGCTGCTGGACGCTTGCTGGCAGCAGCAGCAGCGCCGCTGGCAGCAGCAGCAGCAGCGGCAGCAGCAGCAGCAGCAGCAGCAGCTGCTGCTCCACCAAGTCCCCATCTTCTTCGTCTCCCCGCTCGGCCAGAAGGCCGAACACCTCTTCGAGGCCTTCCTCGACCTCTGCGGAGACGAACTCCGACAAAAAGTCCTCCGAGTCAGCCATCTAACCAGCTAGCTAGCTAGCTAGCTAGCTAGCTAGCTAGCTAGCTAGCTAGCTAGCTGGGGAGTTGGGGAGTTGGGGAGTTGGGGAGCGGCCAGATGGCTAGCTGGGGAGGTAGCTGGGGAGGTGGCTAGAGGGATCGATGGCTAGCTAGCCAGCTAGCTAGCTAGCTGGGATTTAGCTAGCTAGCCAGCTAGCTAGCTAGCTACGGAGATAGGGAGATAGCTGGGCAGCTAGCTGGGTAGCTAGTCGGGAGGGTAGATGGGCAGCTAGCTAGGGAGGTAGCTGGGCAGCTAGCTAGCAGCTAGCTAAGGAGATAGCTGGGCAGCTAGCCAACAGCTAGCTGGGCAGCTAGCCGTGCAGATAGCTGTGTAAATAACCACACAGATATTCACGGAGATACTCAGCAGCTAGCCACACAGCTAGCCAGCAGCTAGCCATGCAACTAGCCAACAGCTAGCTACACAGCTAGCTACACAGCTAGCTACACAGCTAGCTACACAGCTAGCTACACAGCTAGCTACACAGCTAGCCACACAGCTAGCCACACAGCTAGCCACACAGCTAGCCGCACAGCTAGCCGCACAGCTAGCCGCACAGCTAGCCGCACTGCCGCCAGCGCCCCCTCTGCTGCTGCTGCTGCTGCTGCTGCTGCTGCTGCTGCTGCAGGGGGAGCGGCCGTTTGAGCTGCAGCACGTGCGGGTGGTGAAGGAACTGTGGGAAGTGGAGCCCCACCTGTCGGGCCCCGGGCCCTGCGTGCTGCTGGCAGCTCCTGGCATGCTGCAGTGTGGGGCCTCGCAGCAAGCTTTTGCTGCTTGGAGCAGCAGCAGCAGCAACTTGGTGCTGTTTACGGGCTACACGGTGCGGGGGACGCTGGGGGACGAGGTGCGCCGCGAGCAGCAGCAGCAGCAGCAGCAGCAGCAGCAGCAGCGCCGCTGCGCAGTGGAGACTGTCTCCTTTTCGGCGCACAGTGACTATAATCAAACTAGGGACTTTATTCAGCAGCTAAAAGCCCCCAATGTGCTGCTGGTCCACGGCGAGAAGAAGGAGCTGCTGCGGCTGCAGCAAAAGCTGGCAGCAGAAAACCCCTCCCTCTCTGTCTTCGCTCCCGAGATGCTGCAGGCAGTCCGCCTCACCTTCAGGCGCCCTCCCGCTGCTGTTGCTCTCGGCGCAGCAGCAGACAAGCTGCAGCAGCAGCAGCAGCAGCAGCAGCAGCAGCAGCAGCGGGAGCTCGTCCGCAAAACGCGCGAAAAAACGGACGCCGCAAACCCCCTGCAGCAGCAGCAGCAGCAGCAGCAGCAGCAACAGCAGCAGCAGCAGCAACAGCCAGGATAAAGACTGCTGCGACACCTGCGGGTTCATTGTCGCAGGCTGCGTCTTCGTGCGGCGCGCAACTGTTGCTGCTGAAGCAGCAGCAGCAGCAGCAGCAGCATCAGCAGCAGCAAAAGCAAAAGCAGCAGCAGACAAGGGAGAAGCAGCAGGAGCAGTAACAGCAACAGCAGCAGCAGCAACAGCAACAGAAGCAGGAAAAACAGCAGCAACAGATACAGCAGTAGCAGCAGAACCAACTGCCCCTGCTGCTGCTGCTGCTCCTGCTGCTGCTCCTGCTGCTGCTGCTGTTGAAGTTTGCTGGGAGTCTAGCCCCAGCACCGACTTAGTCGCGGACTCAGTTTTATTTCTGTCTTGCGATTTGCTGCGGCTGCAGCTGCCCAGCTACAGGCCTCCAGCAGCACAGCCCTGCAGCAGCAGCAACAGCAGCAGCAGCAGCAGCAGCAGCAGCGTGGGCGAGGAGAATGAGTCGCAGCAGCTGGTGCTGCTGCAGGTCGTGCAGCAGCACCTCATGGAGCAGTTCGGGCCCGTCAAAATATGCAGGAGACGCAAAGGCAAAGCAGCAGCAGCAGCAGCAGCAGCAGCAGCAGCAGCAGCAGAAGATGAGGCTGAGCTATATGAAGAAGTGCCTCTTGCTGCTGCTGCAGCAGACGGCGGGGAAATGGATTTGTGTCTTGTCTTTAATGCGACGCCCGAAAAGGCACCAGCAGCAGCAGCAGCAGCAGCAGCAGCATCCTCTTCTGCTGCTGCTGCTGCTGCAGACACTGGCAGCATGAAAGTCAAAGCGGAAGCAGCAGCAGCAGCAGCAGCAGCAGCAGCAGCAGACGCCGTCAAGGGCAGCAGTGCAGAGAAAGGCCCTGCCGAGGAGGCAGCGGGGCAGCAGCAAGGAGACACAAGTGCTGCAGCAGCAGCAGCAGCAGCAGCTGCTGCTGCTGCTGCTGTGCACCACCCAAACAAAAAGGAGACAGTCTCTGTTTGTGTCGACTTTGCGGAAAGACAGGTTCGCTGTTGCTGCTACTGCTGCTGCTGCTGCTGCTGCTGCTGCTGTTTTTCTTACTATTGCTGCTACTGTTGCTGCTGCTGCTGTTGCGGCTGTTGCTGCTGCTGCCTGTTTTGCTGCCGCTGCTGGCCCAGCCGGTGCTGCTGTCACTGCTGCTGCTACCGGCACATCCGCCACTATTGCTGCTGCTGTTGCTGCTACTAGTCCTACTTTTGCTGCTGCTGCCGCTGCTGTACTATTTGCTGCTGCTGCTGCTGCTGCTGCTTGTTGGGGCTTGTGTACAGGTCCGCTGCAGCGACGCTGCAGTGCAGCAGCAAGTTCGAAACTTAGTTGCTGCTGTCGAGAGGGGATTCATGCCGGTGCTGCTGCCTTGGTAAATGCTGCTGCAGCTGCTGCAGCTGCTGCTGCTGCAGCGGCTGCTGTTGCATTTGCTGCTGCTGCAGCTTTTGCTGCAGTTGTGCTGCAGCAGCAAGCGTTTCCAGAAAGCTTTGAGCCCCTGTGAAAGCAGCGGCAGCGGCTGCAAGAGTGGCAGCTGCCCGTGGGGCAGCAGCAGCAGCAGCAGCAGCAGCAGCAACTGCTGCTGCTGCTGCTGCTGCTGCGTTGTTTGTTTGTCTCTCTTGTCTTTCAATTTGGTTTTTGTGAATTTGCTTCAACGAACAAAGACGAAAACAATAGAAATGCTAGCTAATTGTTGCTGCCGTTGCTGCAGGTGCTGCTGCTGCTGCTGCTGCTGCTGCTGCTGTTGCTGCTGCTGCTGCTGCTGCTCTTTGTTCTCTATTTGGAATAAATTTACGCAAAAAAGATCAAAAGGGAAAAGCCGTTGCAGCTTCAGGAGGTTTACTTTTCAGGTGTATCTCCACCTTGCTGCGGTGTACAGAGAACTCTCTTCTGCTGCTGCTGCTGCTGCTGCTGCTGCTCTTTTGCTGCTCTCTGCTGCCAGTCTATTTCCCTTTTGAGCTTTTCTTGTGTCTCCTCTCTGGCTTTACTCGAGTTATCTAGGGTTTAGGGTTTAGGGTTTAGGGTTTGTTCTTGTTTTTGGCTTGGGAGCGGAGCGCAGGCGAGGAAATGAACTTTTCTCTATTTGCTTTTTTTTCAGTGCAAAACTCCTGAGGGTTTAGGGTTTAGGGTTTAGGGTTTAGCGCCTAGGGTTTAGGGTTTAGGGTTTAAGCGGGCTCTGCCTCGCGGAATGGCGCAGGCTCTGCCTCCTCCCTAGCAGCAACAGCAGCAGCAGCTGCAGCTGAGCAGCAGCTGCTGCTGCTCAGCAGCAGCAGCAGCAGCTGCTGCTTCGTGCAGAGGCAAATGGAGGAGCTGAATAGAGCTGCTGCAGCTCTGGTGCGGCGCTGTTGCTGCTGCAGCGGGAGGTGTTGCTGCTGCAGCGGGAGGTGTTGCTGCTGCAGCAGGGGCCCCGGGGGGCCTCCGTGTTTTATTGAATATTTGAAAGTGTTGAAATGAATTAAAAAAGTGCGAGAGAGAAGCGGGAAGGAAGTGCAGCAGCAGGGTTTGGGGTGTATGTACACCGCGCGGTGTACGCGCAGCGCGTTGCTGGGCGTGGCGCGGAAGTTGGGAAATTAAGGAAGCAAAAAAGTTAGACAGTGTTGCTGCAGCAGCAGGAGCAGCTGCTGCTGCTGCTGCAGCTGCAGCAGCAGCGGGTGTAGCAGCAGGTGCTGCTGCTGCAGTAGACCGCTTGCGTACCGGTGGCCGATTGGAGCAGGGGCGCAGCCGCAGCAGCAGCTGCTGCTCAGCAGCACAAAGAAAACAGCAGCAGCAGCAGCAGCAGTTTGTGCAGCAGCAGGAGCGTGAGGGCTTGCCGTTGGCGGGCTTTGAAAAGGAGAAGACAGGGAAGAACAGCTGCGCAGCCAGTGGAGTCGTGGCTGGCGCTGCTGCTGCCGCTGCAGCAGCAGCAGCAGCAGCAGCTGCTGCTGGAAGCAGCAGCAGACAGCTAGCGGAAGTGGCGCGAAAGAAAGGGAAAAAAAGGGAGTTGAGTTTGGAATTGGAAAAGAAGTAAGATTGGGTGAAAAGAGCGAGAAGGCGGCCGCCGGACCGCTTCCCTCTGCGGCCGCTGCTGCTGCTGCCGCTGCTGCTGCTGCTGCTGCTGCTGCTGCTGCTGCTGCTGCATCGGGGCATCGAGCTGGAGCTCAGACACGCGTACTCTGTGTGAATCTTGCGCTGATTGTAGCTGGGTTGTGTAGTTTGTGCATTTTTGAATGAACGGGGTGCGTTTAAGGGGAGTAGTTGGGGGGAAAAGGCGTTGCTGCTGCTGCTGTTGCTGCTGCTGCTGCTGCCGCTGCTGCTGCTGCTCCCCCGCTCCAGCCGATCCGCCGCTGCTGGTGTGGCTGTGTAGGCCGTGGTGTTGCGTTTGTTTGTTTTTGTCTCCCTGCAAGACTGAGCAAGTTATTCATTTCCTTTTTGCTGCTTTTCTGTGCTGCAGCAGCAGCCGCGGGGGCGCGCGAACAGACAGCAGCAGCTGCCTACACACCCCACCACTCGACTGCAAGCTCGCAGCTGCAGCTGCAGCTGCTGCTGCTGCTGCTGCTGCTGCGGCGCAGCAGACACGGGGAATTCGTTTGCGGTTGCGCAGCGGGGAAGGCTGTTCCGCATTTCTAGCTGCAGAAGAAGCCCACGGCGGCCGCAGCAGCAGCAGCAGCAGCAAGTGCAGCAGCAGCAGCAGCACGCCTCTACAGCTAGCTGCGTGTGGGATCGGGACCCTCCGCCGCCTCCCCCCGCGCCTCCGACGGCCGGCAGTTTGTTTTTCCGCTTTTGTCTCTTCCGGAGTTGCTTCTTGCTGCTGCCTGCAATGTGTCTCCCCGCAGCAGCGGCGGCTGCAGCAGCAGCAGCAGCAGCAGCAACTGCAGCAGCAGCAACTGCAGCAGCAGCTCAGCCGCCGCTCCTCAACCCAGCACCCCAGACACCCCTCCTCCTCCTCCCCCAGCCTTCCCCCAACGACCCCGACTTTACACCAACAACGCCAACACCAACACCACCTCCAGCAGCAGCAGCAGCAGCAGCAGCAGCAGCAGCAGATGGTGGAGTGGCTGCAGCAGCGTCGCAGCAAGTGGGGAGTAGTCTGCGTTCCTGCAGCAGCGAAGAAGAGGAGTCCAGAACAGCAGCAGCAGCAGCAGAAGGAGATGCAGATGGAGACGGCGGCTCGAAGCTGGAACCCCAGGAATCCCCCCAGCAGCAGCAGCAGCAGCAGCAGCAGCAGCAGCAGCAGGAAGCCGAGTCCCTGTGGCCTGCTGCTGCTGCTGG